GGGGGGGGGGGGCGGAAGCTGGCCGGCGGCTGGGGACTTGTGCACTGTGGATTACCTGCGTCGGCCTAGCGCCGGGTTATGGACCTGGATTTGCCCAGGAGAGACGCTTGATACCTCTCCAAACGGGCCATCGTGGCGAGATCGCATCCTCTGCAAGGTCTTGGGTGCTGGGTGTGGGACAGGGCAGGGCAGGCGGAGGATCGCTTGAGAGTGTGCAGTTGTGGACGCGACAGGCTCGGTGGGCAACGGTATGGGTAATACTCGTCGACCTGTTGTTTGGAGGAGAAGCACCAGGTGGCGATGATGCAGAAGAACAAGGCTCGCTTGCGGAAGGAGCCGCTGCGCAAGCTGTGGGAGCCGTCCAATGTCGGTATGTTGGGTTGAGGGTGGGTTGGGTTGGGGGGGGGTTGGGGGTCATGGTGTCGTCACTGCAAGAGAAGACGGAGGGGTGTGTGTGAGGGAAGGGGGGGAGGGGAGGGGAGGGGAGGAGGGAGTGAGGGGGGAGGGGGGAGGGGGGCGATGACTCATGTAGAAGAGGTCGTTGGTGTGTGTGCTGCGTGCTTGGTCACGGGGCTGTTGCTGCTGCTGGCTGCTGGCTGGACGCTCGTTGACGTTCGACGTGCCGACGCTGATGCTGATGGGTGGCGATGATGGGTGGCTTTGGGGTGCGTGGGTAACAGATCCATATCCCCTCTCGGGATCTCACTCGTCGTCTATCGAGTCGCAAAAGGCATCGCTCCCGGCCCGGGTGTTGCACAAGGTGTACGGCATTCCCTATGGGCCAACGTCGCGGATGGTGGCGACGGCGGCGAGCCAGGTGTTCCCGCTCGGATGGCTTCGCCGCTACGGCCGCAGTCAGCTGGGTAGTGACATTGTGGCCGGCCTAACCATTGGCATCATTCTTGTGCCGCAGGCCATGGCTTACGCGCTGCTGGCGGGCCTCCCACCGCAGTACGGGCTGTACACCGCCATCTTTCCGGCGCTCATGTACGGGATCTTTGGCACGGTGCCGAACCTGTGCATAGGCCCGTTTGCGCTACTCTCGCTGCTTGTGGCCGAGGCCGCGTCTGCAGTTTCGGGTGAGGACGGCGGAACGGATGCGTCGCAGCGGTACATCGAGGCGACCATGCTGCTGTCGTTTTCACCGGCCTGGTACTCTGCGCCATGTCGACGCTGCGGATGGGCTTTGTCACCGTCTTTCTCTCGCCGGTCCTCATCTCGGGCTTCACCACCGCATCGGCCATTCTTATTGCCACGTCGCAGCTGAAGCACGTGTTTGGCCTTCGCCCGCCGCAAATTGACGGCTTTTTGAGCCGTTCCGGACCATATACTGGCTTCTCTCTCATCTTGACGAGGCCAATGTGGCCGCGATTGTCATTGCTGTCGTCGCGGTCCTCCTCCTCTTTGGCATTCGGTATCTCAACACCAGGTTCAAGGCCCGGCTTCCGATGGCGATCCCGTCCGAGTTTGTGCTCCTTGTTCTCGCGCTTGTCTTCTCCAAGGCGCTGAGCATAGACACGCGGTGGGACGTGAACGTGGTTGGCTCGATTCCGGGCGGCTTGCCGTCGCTCACGGTCCCAAGCCTCGGCTCGGACATGGTCGGTGCTGCGTTGGCCAACTCGATCATTCTTGCTGTCATTGGGTTTGCCGTCTCTATTGCCATCGGCAAGACTTTTGAGAAGCAGCTTGAATTGAGCGTCCGGCCCAACCAGGAGCTACTCGCCATGGGCATCGCCAACGTGTTTGGCTCGTTTCTACTCTCGTATCCGTCGTGCGGCTCACTCTCACGCTCGGTTGTCTCGGCCGAGTCGGGCGTCAAGTCGCCGATCAACATCCTGTTCTCGTCGACGCTAGTGGCTATCATTGTCGCCGTCCTAACCGGGCCGTTTGAGGCCACGCCTCAAGCCGTCCTTGCCGCCGTCATTCTGGTAGCGCTCAAGCGGCTCCTTCTCCAGGTCCGCGAGCTCCCGGCACTGTACCGGATCAAGCGGGCCGACGGCTTGGTCTGGGCCTTTGTGTTCACCGCCGTTCTGGTTGTCGGCGTCACCGAAGGCCTCATCCTCGGCATGGTCTTCTCGCTTCTCATTGTGCTGTACAAGCAAATGCGGCCGTACACGGCGGTGATGGGCCGGTTTCCAGGCACCAGGCTCTACGGCTCAGTGGCGCAGTATGGCGACCAGGTCGTCGAGTGGCCGCGCATTAAGATCGTCCACTTTGGTGCCGAGCTCTTCTATGCCAACGTCGCCTTTTTGGAGGACACGATCGAGGGCGTCGTCCGCTCCACCCCGGGCCTGGCCGCCATTGTCCTCGACATTTCGACCTTTTCCGACATCGACATCTCGTCGGCGCGCGACCTCTCTCGCATCCACGCCGACCTAACCGACCGCCACATCCGGCTCCTCTTTGCCCACCCGCGCAAGCGGCTCCGCTCGCTCTTTGCCGCCGAAAAGACGGTGCCCATCGAAGACATGTTCATCGACGTTCACGACGCCTGCCTCTACGCCATGGAAGTCGGTCCCATCGTCCCTGACGCCACAGACTCGGACTCGAACGGATCGTCCACCACGGCTGCCATCTGGCCGGGCTACGGCTCGGTCGGCTGGAGCCCCATCCCTAGCGTTGTCTCGCTCTCATCCGACAGTGAGCCGACCACCACCGCTCCGTCGACGCACGCCGAGCCATCAACGGCCATCTCGGGCCACCACCGCTCAGCACCCTCTTCGGCGCCAAGCAGCGGCATTTCGTCGTCGTCAAGCTACTTGTCATCGTCGGCCTCACCGACCGTTTAGCGCTTGCGCAGACACCATGCAACTGTTGGCGTACTTAATCAAAGATAGTGTCGTCTCGTCTTGTGTGCCAGTCCTGCAAGTCGAGATGCACCCCATCCCCTTCCCCCGATATCATTGCGGCTTGATGGTTGGCGAGCCCAAAGGGAGCATGAGTTTGGCTCAGCTCGCCCCCCCCCCCCCCCCCGTGGGGGGAGGGGGAGGGCGGTTACGAGGAGCCCTAGTCTTGACACCAAGCAGAGCACACACGACGCCAGACCGAGGCTACTTGAGCCGTGGGGCAGGTTTGGATGAACGTGACGTTTTCAGACACAGTGTCGGTAGTTGGAGACGAGGGAGGCGGAGGCGGCGGTGGAGACCGAGGCAGAGTCGGGAGAGCCGCCGCGAGCGGGGCAGCGGTCGCCACGGCGGCGTACCCGTTGTCTGGCACGACGAGGACGGCAACGACGGGAGAGGTAGATGCAGACAAACCGGCTGGTGTGGGAGACGGAACAGCGGTGGCTGCTACCAACGGAGCAGCTTTGCCTATGGGCGCTACCCGAACGGGCATGGCGAGCGGGCAGGGAAGGCTTGCCGACGGCCACGCCTTTGACGAGATTGCGTGGAAGGACCTCCGAGTACGTTGATCTTGGCTTGGCAGGGCGGGGCGAGGGGCGAGAGTAACTTGGACCAGTTGATGGTGCGTAGACTCACGGTGCTGTGGATGTGTGCTCGGTACAGATCATCCGCAAGGTTGGCACCGGGGGCTTTGGCGACGTCTACGCTGGGATGTGGGGCGGGACGCCTGTGGCGATCAAGAAGCTCAAGACGAGCTCGCCGCATGGGCCAACGCCGATGATGACAACACCGACGGGCTCGGTTTCGCGACCGGCGTTCGGTGACGGAATGACAGCGTCGTTAGGTGGCGCCGGGACGCTTACGGCTGGGACGTGGGGCGGCGGCGGCGGCGGCGGCGGTGGCGGCGGTTTTCGGCATGTGGGTGGCGGCGAGACGGGAGGCGACAATCATGTCCGCGGAGACAGGGCTACTGTTACTGAGACAGAGCCCGGGTTGCCGGTGGCGGCTGCCGGAGAGTCGGATGGCGTTGGCAATGGCGGCGGGCGGACAGGACTTGTTGTGTGGGGCGAAGACTCGATTGCGCCCGAGCACCGGGCATCGTTTTTGGCGGAAGCACATTCGCTGTCGACGGTCAACCACCCCAACTGCCTGCAGTTGCTGGGGTGCTGCACCGAGCCGCGACACCTATGCATTGTGACCGAGTACTTGAAGGAGGGCGATTTGGCGACGCTCTTGTTCAACTCGGACGAGCTGATTGGCGACGCGAAAAAGGTGTCGATTCTGGCGCAGATTGCGCGCGGGTGTGAGTACCTGCACCTCCGCAAGGAGATCGTGCACCGCGACCTCAAGCCGGGCAACATCTTGCTCGACCACTCGGCGTCGGTGGTCAAAGTCGCCGACTTTGGCCTCTCGGTCCTTGTCTCCAAGCTCCAGGACGAGCGTGCGCGGCGCGGCGGGACTCACAAGTACATGTCACCGGAGCAGCTACTGGGTGGCGTGACGGCGTCACGGGCCTCTGATGTCTTTTCGTTTGGCGTCATTATGTACGAGGTGTTGACTCGGCAGCGTGCCTTTGACCGTGAGCGATGGGTCAATGTCTACGCGCGCCCTTCGCTCGAGGCGACGGTACCGCACTCGACGCTCTCGCTGATGCTTTCCGACTTGCTAGAGGCTACGCTCGCGCCGAATCCCGACGACCGGCCGGACTTTACGTCGATTGTGGCGGTGCTAGAGGATTTGAAGAGCAAGCTGGTGTACGGGCCTGTGTGGCCGTCTGTGCCTGCACTGCCGCCTGCATTTGTGCCTGTCGAGCGCGACCTTGATGCGCTGCGGCAGCTGGTCTTGCGCGCCCGGCGCCCGCTGCTGAGCGGCGAGAGCCGTGCGCCACTGCCGTCGCCGATGGCGGCTTGGACGCCGCTGGGCTCTGAAAGCGGCAGCGAGTTTACCAGTCCGGGCTCGTCGTCGTGGTCGTCCGAGGCTGAGTCGCCAACGGCATCGGTTCTTTCGACAGGCTCATGGGCTGCGAGCAACGCACCGGGCGGGGTGTTTGTTGTCGGCCCGGCCGGGCGCGGCAAGTCTGTACTTGCGGCTGCGCTTGCGCGCGACGAGACGATCCGGCTTGCCTTTCCGGGCGGATCGCACTGGATCACGCTGGGCCCTGCGCCGCGCATTCCTCAGCTCCTCGCCAAGCTCCGGCAGGAGATGCTCGGCTCGAGCGAGAGCGATGACGACGGGTCGGACAACAGCGGGTGGTCGGGCGGCGGGCCGCCGCCGCTTGTCCGAGCCGGCTCATCGTCCGAGGCTGCTATCCCGAGTGATCCGCTGCTCTCTGTCCGGGCGCTCCGCGAAGAGCTTCGCGAGCTGTTCAACGAAGCCGGTAAGCAAGCGCTGCTAGTGTTTGAGGACGTTGTCTCTGCCTCGCACTTGCTGCCGTTCCTTGACGTGGCGGCGGGCTCGGGCTCGTTTGTGGTGGCCAACACCCGGAGCACGGGCCTTGCGGCGCGACTGCCTGGCTGGGACGAGTTTGTGCTCGAGGGCCTAGAGGCAGAGGCGTCGCTGGCGGTGCTGGCCAAGGCGTCGCGGCGCGGAGTGGAGGCACTTCCGCGTCCGGCACGGGCCATTGCACAGCTCTGCGGTCGGTTGCCGCTCTCGCTGGCGATGCTTGGTGGCCTGCTCCGGCACTGCGCCCACGAGTCTGAGTGGGCCGAGGTTGCGCGCCAGCTCCGGGACCTGGGCGCCGGTGCTGGATCGGCCATCCACGTTGCGGTCCTTGCCCTCGGCCCGCTGCGGTACCGCTACCTGGACCTTGCGGTTTTCCCGGCGACGATGCCGATTACGCTCGCGGCGCTGGAGGCGATGTGGTCGGTTCTCCCCGAGCCGCTGACCCGGTCCGACGTGAAGATTGTCGTTGACGCGTTTGTGGCCAAGGCGCTCGTGGTTGTCGACGGCTCCGGCGACCTCATTTTGCACCAGTTGCAGCGCGAGTTTCTGTTGGAGCAGGCTGTGGCGTCGGGCGAGTTGCGCAGCATGCGGGCGCGGCTGTTTGAGGGCTTTGAGCCGCATGCGTCGCGGCTGCGGCTTCAAGAGATCGAGTTCCTGAAGGCCATGTACTGCCGCGACGGCGAGTTTGAGATGGCAGCGCACATGTGTGAGTACGTCGAGCAGTACGAGGCTGCCGTCGATGTGGGCGACCCTGCGGCAAAGCTGCGCGAGGTCCAGTTCTCGATTTTCTTCGAGGTCGACATCCCAGCGCCGGCATTGCCGGTGGCAGACGAGGGCGACTCGGGCGAGGCATGCGGCGACGAGTGCGGAGCTGGCGACGAGCCGCTCGCTCCCGAGCAGGCACGAATCGAGCTGGAAGCCTCGCTGGTTGCCGGCTACCCGTTCCTTGTCCAGCCGAACGTAACCATCCGGTCGAGTGCGTTGTCGCGGAGCGGACAGGCCTCGATCATGGCTCAGATGCAGAGCTTCCTCGACTCGGTGACGCAGCCCGGCGAGCTGTGCGTCTCCCGGGCAGTCGAGTGGGTGACGGCCAACGTGCTGCGGTTCCTCGAGCACTCGGCGACCAAGCGGATGCGCGCGAGTGCGAGCGATGGCGGCAAGAGCGCGGGCAAGGGCAAGGGCAAGGGCAAGGGCAAGGGCAAGGGCAAGGACAGTGGCAAGGCGAGCAAGAGTCGAAACATGGGCAGTCGACAGCCCGCCGTGGTTGTGCCGCCGCGCGGGCGTCCGAGCTCGCTGCTGGTCTCGCCGGCACTGGTACGGCGGTCGACGAGCATGGACGCCATTGCTGGCGATGCGGCGACGGACGCGTTTGCGTTTGGCTGGCGCGGCTGGCCGCGGATGACGTCGCCGCGGATGGGAGCGGGCGCGGGAGCTGGAGTTGGAGCGGGGCCGGAGCCGGAGCCGAAGCCGGAGCTGGAGGCGGGGCGATAGGAGCCGCGAGCGGCAATAGCCTCGAACGACAAGTGTCGCCGTCGCCGTCGACGCCATCATCGAGCTCGCTGCTTGCCCACGCGCAGCAGCGCGAGTGGCTCACCTTTCCCAAAGCCAACTTTAAGGTTGTGGCGCCCAAGGCGCTCGAGTCTGCGCGCAAGCATTTGCTGACGGGCTTTGTGGTCTCGACCTCTCCATCAGTGGTGGTGTTTGAGGGCGAGGCGCCTGCGGTCGAGGCGGCCATCGCGTGGCTCTACACTGCGCTGGACAACTCGTTCATTGTCGCATCGTTTGTGCGCAAGTGGACGGAGCGGTGCGTGTCGCGGCGTTCAGCAGCGACCTGGCTCCGCTTTGAGCGCTTTGCGCTCTACGGATACTCACGCGGGCGGGCGCGCAAGCGGTTCCGCGCCGTTCTCGATGCCTCAGGCTGCGGCGGCGTGTTTTTCAAGGTCACCGGCATCGAGTATACCTCGTAGTATGAATCGCAACAGTGTTGCTCTCGCAATGGCAAGTGTCGCGAGGGGAGAAGAACAAAAGTCGAGCAGCCGCCAATTGAGAATTTTGATTGAGGCCTGCAAAAACATCGCCGGGTGACGTGAGCGCAGAGCGGGAGGAGCGGTAAAAGTCACCATTTCTCTTCCCCAAACCAACGTACGAAACGGCTGCCGCGTCAATCCCAGGCCAATAGTTGGCCTTCCCCTCGCACCCTTTCCCCCCTCCCACTCACACTCTCTCCTTGCTTGTTCCGGCTACAGATGTTTGCTCTGGGTGGAGCGCTGCGCGCGAACGCTGTGAAGATGGGCTCGGCGGCCCTGCCGCTGTTTGGTACGTCTGGTGGGGAGGTCTTGGGAGGTAGCGAGGCTGTGTGTGGCCTGGGGCGCCGCGCTGCGGGTTTTGGGTCTTTAGGGTTTGGCTGTGACTCGCACAAGGGCGCGGCCCTTGCAGAGCAGGAAATCCCCCCCTGGGGCCCAACAGCAGAGAGGAAAATGGAGAGCAGCAGCTGCATGTTGTCCTCTGGCGGCAGGGCTGTGACTGTGGTGCTTGCCCAGTATGGCCGCGGGTCGTGCTGGCTGGCGGCCAAAAACATCGCAGCGAAAAAATTTGGACCGTCGCCAAGGGGCGTCGGGAAGGGTCTTGCAGCGGTTGTTGCTGTCGCGAAGGGCTTTCCATGGCCGTCCCGGACTGGTAGCTGTGTTGCGCACGCTTGTGCCCCTCTGCATGGCGAGTGTGAGCGCTGCGAGGCGAAGCAACGGGTCTGGGTGGGAGCGTGTGGAAGCGTCGCCCAGCGGCTGTGGATGGTTGTTTGATCGGTCGCGCGCGTGTGGCGGGCCGGGCCGGGGCCGGGCGGCGGAGGCGGGGGCAGACGAGACTCACAGGGGAAGGCCAAACTGTGGCACGGAGGACAGCCCGCGGGATGGCCGCCAAGGCTGCGGACACCGGATCGCTCGGTACGGTGACGCAGGTCATTGGTGCCGTCGTCGACGTCAAGTTTGAGGACGGCGAGCTGCCGGCTATCCTCAACGCGCTTGAGGTTCAGGACCACGACATCCGTCTTGTGCTCGAGGTTGCCCAGCATCTGGGTGAGAACACCGTGCGGACGATTGCCATGGACGCCACCGAGGGTCTCACGCGTAACGCGCGTGTTCTCGACACCGGTGCGCCGATCCAGGTGCCTGTGGGCTCTGGCACGCTCGGCCGGATCATGAACGTCATCGGCGAGCCGATTGACGAGCGTGGCCCGATCAAGTCGGACAAGGTGATGCCGATTCACTGCGAGCCGCCGGCATACGTGGAGCAGTCGACCAAGGCCGAGATTCTCGAGACGGGGATCAAGGTTGTCGACCTCCTTGCGCCGTACGCCAAGGGTGGTAAGATTGGCCTCTTCGGTGGTGCCGGTGTCGGTAAGACCGTGCTCATCATGGAGCTGATCAACAACGTGGCCCAGGGCCACGGTGGTTTCTCGGTCTTCGCCGGTGTCGGCGAGCGCTCGCGTGAGGGCAACGACCTCTACCACGAGATGATCGAGTCTGGCGTCATCCAGCTCGACACTGACGACTCGAAGGCCGCTCTGGTCTACGGTCAGATGAACGAGCCGCCTGGGGCGCGTGCCCGTGTTGCTCTCACCGGGCTCACGGTCGCCGAGTCGTTCCGTGACGAGGGCCAGGATGTCCTCCTCTTTGTGGACAACATTTTCCGGTTCACCCAGGCCGGTTCGGAGGTGTCTGCCCTTCTCGGCCGCATTCCGTCTGCTGTCGGTTACCAGCCGACGCTCGCGACGGACATGGGTGCCATGCAGGAGCGCATTACCACCACCCGCCAGGGTTCGATTACCTCGGTGCAGGCCATTTACGTGCCGGCTGATGATCTTACCGATCCGGCCCCCGCCACCACCTTTGCGCATCTTGACGCCAAGACCGTGCTCTCGCGTAACATTGCCGAGCTGGGCATCTACCCCGCTGTGGACCCGCTTGACTCGTCGTCGCGTATGCTCGACCCGCGCATTGTCGGCCAGGAGCACTACAACGTCTCGCGTGCCGTCCAGAAGGTTCTCCAGGACTACAAGTCGCTCCAGGACATCATTGCCATTCTCGGCATGGACGAGCTCTCGGAGGAGGACAAGCTTGTGGTCTCGCGCGCCCGTAAGATCGAGCGCTTCCTCTCGCAGCCGTTCCAGGTCGCCGAGCCGTTCACCAACATGCCCGGCCGCCGCGTCGAGCTTGCCAAGACCATCGAGTCGTTCAAGGAGATCCTCTCTGGCGAGCTTGATGACCTCCCCAACAACGCCTTCTACATGGTCGGCGACATCGACGAGGTCAAGGAGAACGCCCGCAAGATGGCTGCCAACGTCAAGGCCTAAGTTTCCTCTTTCCCCCAGCACCATGTGTTAAACCCGGAGACGACCAAGTTGGTGGTGGTGTGGTGGTCGCGGTGTGGCTCTGGCGCAGCCAGGCCTGGCCTTGGACCTGGAGCAACTTGTCGCCTAGCATGGGCGGTTGCAGGCTCTGGAGTCGAGGCGGCAGTCAAGGCAGCGAGGGGTTGTGGCCCAGCCTGGTGGTAGTGCTGGGCGTGGTGGGCGTGGCATTGGCGGTGGTGGGCGCAGGAGTGGCAGTTGCGGCAGCGGAAGCCGAAGGCGCTGCGGGGCTCGAGTGGGTCGAGGCCGTGGCCCGGTCGGTGGCAGCTCATCGGTCGCTGTACCCAGAGCTGCCGCAGCCGGTGGTGGCGCGGCGGGCGGTGCGGATCGGGACGGGCGGCGAGGGCGAGGCCGGCGAGGGCAGCGCGAGCGGGTTGACGGTGACGGTGGACGAGGTGATGGCAGCGTTGGCGGCCAACTGCTCGACGTCGCGCAACGCAAGTCTAGCAGGCGGCCCGCTGGTGTACGGCGACGACGTGGCGCTGGTGAAGCGAGTGATCGACAAGGAGAGCGGCGAGCCGTGGTCGGCCATGGCGCCGGTGGAGGCGTTTGTGGCGGATCCCAGCGTTGTGCCGCCGGCCGGCGCTCTGCGTGCTGCGGTCGATGCCGGCTTCTCGCTTGTCTTTAACCGCATCCACAAGTTAGCTGCGCGGTACGGGCCGGTGTGTGAGCTGGGTGTGAGCGGGGCGGGCGGCGGGCGGCCGCGCGTGGCGCTGGCCGAGACTGCGGCGCGGATCGCGGCCACGCTGCGCGACGGGAGCTACGACGGCGGGGCGTATGAGGGCGCCAACCTGTACTGGAGCCCTGCAGGCTCGCCGGGCTTTGAGACTCACTTTGACGTCATGGACGTGCTGGTGGTCCACATTGCCGGCGCCAAGACGTGGCGGGTGTACCAGCCGCAGGTGGCGCTGCCGCTGCCGGGCGACAAGGCGCGGCCTGCGTTTGAGAGTCTGGAGGTTATCGGGAGCTTTACGCTTGCGCCTGGGGATGTGCTCTTCCTCCCGCGCGGCTTTCCGCACGACGCCGAGGCGACTGCTGACGGGCCGTCGGTCCACATCACCTTTGGCTTTGATGTGTACAACCACACATGGGCGGCGCTGGCGGCGCCGTGCGTGGCGCCGGCGGCGGCCAGCATCCTCGCGGCCTCGCCGCTGCTCCGGACAACGCCGACCGAGCTCCTCCCGCCGAGCTGCGTCGACGGCGGGCTGCGCGACGTGCAGTGCCGGGCGTCTGCGGTAGCGGTTGCCGCCGACGCCATCGCCGAGTTGGCGGCAAGCGCGGGGCTCGCCGAGGACGCGGCCAGCATTGCGGCTTGTCTAGCGCCACGAGTCGTTGCTGCGCACCCTCTCATCGACCGTGAGTCGGAAAATACGAGCCGCGACGAGCTGTAGCGACGGCAACGTATGTGCTGTGTGGTTCACTTTGAACAACCGTACCGCTGCAGGGCTACGCGAGGACGCCGATAAAGTGCTTCTTGAGCTCGATGACGGCGTCGACCGGGTGCTGGTCGCCGTAGAAAGCGTCGGTGGCGTCGGAGCCGGCCCAGGCGGCGAGTGCGGCGGCGCCGCCGGGGTGGTTGGGCATGTAGCCGGTGACGTCAAAGACAAAGCCGTTGACAGCGATCCAGGCGTCGTCGTCGTTGCCGTGGGCAGCGAGCTGGGCGTTGGAGATGGAGACGGCGGCCTTGGCCTTGCCGTCGGCATCGGCGTCGAGGCACTCGCCAATGTAGTACTCCTTGAGCATCTCGTGGGCCTTGGACGGGTGCTGCGGGCCGTGGAAGCCGTCGGTGTTGTCGCCGCCGGCGTTGTTGAGGATGGCGTCGCCGCCCTCGTGGGTATCGACGTACGGCGTCACGTCGTAGACCTTGCCGTGAACAATCATCCACAAATCCTCGGGGCTTGCGTGCTTGCTCACCTCGGCGGCCAGAAACAGCTTCTTGTTGCTCCGCGCCTCGCCGCTCCCGCCGTCAGCTGCCAGCGAGTCGGTCTGCGAGCGGACCCAGGCACGGACAACAAGCCAGACCAGGCCGCCGAGGAGGAGGGCGGCAAGGACCTGCGGCGTCATGGCAATTTCGTGGACCAGTCCCATCCTTGCGCTAGCTATTGGCAGTTGAGTGTGTGGGGTAGGTGGGGTGGGGTGTGCGGGGTGTGGCGTCCGGGGGGTGGGGGTGGGGTGGGCGAGGGTGGCGAGGCGGGGGGGGGGTCAGGGCAATGTGGGCGAGAGATGGGGCGATGGGGCGATGGGGCGATGGGGCGATGGGGCGATGGATGGGGGGGGGGGGGGGAGGGGGAGGGGGAGGGGGAGGGGGGGGATGGAGAGTGCTGTCAATGATGGCTGATGGCAGGAGCATGTCCATCGCGAGCCGATCCGGGTCTTTAGCGGGGCGGGCGGGTGAGGAGCGCCAGGCGAGGGAGGGTTGGTGGGACATCCTGCGCCTTGTCAGCAGGCGGGCAGCATGGCGGCAGAGGGCGGGGGGGGGGAGGGGGGGAGGGAGGCAGACGGGCACCACCTCTCTTGCGGGCAATGGGCAAGCGTGAGCGAGTGCGTGCGCGTGCGCGGAAGCGCAAGGTGGAGAAGAAGCTCGGTGTGCGCGAGCAGGGCGGGAATGGTGGTAGGGCCGAGGTGAGGAGGATGATCCGGCGCGGGGCGATGGGCAGCGGCGGCGGCGGCGGTGCAGGCGGTGAAGGGGCCGGCGGGTACGGGATCGATGGGCGGAGGGTCAAGGCGGAGGCGGGGGCCAGTCAGAGCAAGAGTGGCAAAAAGAAGAAGAAGGGCGGTGCTGGTGGGGGGGGATTCCCGTCATCTCGCGCAAGGCCGAGGCGGTGTACGGCGAGGCCGCGGGTATCTCCAAAATGCTGCTGGTTGGTGACGGCGACTTCTCGCTCGCTGTGGCCATGGTGCGGCTGGCCGGCGGCGACGGATCGCGGCTGGTGGCTACGTCGTACGACTACGCTGAGGACGTGCGCGATAAGTACAAGCAGGCTGAGTCGAACATTCGCGCGCTGGAAAAGGCCGGCGCGTCCGTGCTGCATGGCGTCGATGGTCGCAGGCTGCACCGCAAGAAGGAGCTCCGGGGCGAGCTCTTTGATCGCATCGTGTTCTTCTTTCCGCACTCGGGCCAGCAGCGAGTCCATGTCAACCGCCTCCTCCTCTCCGAGTTCTTTTCCTCGGCGGCGCGCGTCCTCGCCCCTGGCGGCGAGGTCCACGTCGCGCTCAAGACCTTCGCGCCGTACATCCACTGGAACGCTCCGGGCGCCGCCGCCGCCGCCGGCCTCGACCTTGTTGTCCAGCATCCGTTGGCCAGCCTTCAGCTCCGCGAGCACGGCTACATCCACCGGACAACGGATCCCAATGCCGTCAAGTTCCGCTCGGTCGACTCGATGCTGTACGTCTTTGCCAAGTCGGCGGCAGCTGAAGCCGCTGCGGCGTCGTCCAAGAAGCGCCGCGCGGCCACCAGCACCTCGACTGAGATCGCTGCCATCCTCGACGCAGCCGGGGGTACCCTCTTTCCCGTCGCGCTCTCTGCCGAGGCACGTCCCATCAAGAGGCGGAAGCTGCTTCCCTAGGAGCCCTTGAGCCGTCGCGATGTCGTGCCTCGCTGATGATCGACGACCACGCAATCCA